CCGACTTCAAGTCGGTATGAATTCATACGAGTTTATATGACTCAAACCGAATGATCCCGAGTTCAAGTCGGTATGAATTCATACGAGTTTATATGACTCAAACCGAATGATCCCGAGTTCAAGTCGGTATGAATTCATACGAGTTTATATGACTCAAACCGAATGATCCCGAGTTCAAGCGGCTTGAACGATATGAGTTCGAAACATGTGTCTGTGTCTTAGCGTATCGACTTATCGACTTGCGTGTTTGTTTATTTTTGACTAAGCGCTGAGAGCCAATTTGTTCATGAAATATAAAAAACTCATTTAGATAATAAATACGCGATTTAGATTTTAATTAATATCGAAATAAACTACACAACGAGTTTTATACACATACAACATTATCATATTTTATTACTTGCATAATGGCAAATTCACACAAATCAAATAATATCAATCTTTACAGTAGTGAATTTTAAGTCATTCGTAAAACGTTAGATTCAGCTCCCTGTTTAGATTAGATCTAAACAATCAATAATATACACATGCATTCGTTCAACGTAAGATTAAGAATATTGTTTTATATGCTTTAGTGATAGAGAAGTGTTTGGTTATATTTTATTGTAAATTCACTTGAAATATTAGTTATATTTGTAGCTAGTTTATTATTATATATAATATAAATGTATTCATCTCTGCACTTTTTGAAATTAATTGCTTACTAAATTAATTATTTCACTTATATTATTATTAAAATGATATTATTTCTTCTCTTAAATTATAATTGCTCATATATGAACTTGATTCGAATTGATTCGAATCATGATTCGAATCAGGTTTTTTTCTGATTCGAATCACTCGAATCAAGAAATTTTCGAGTCGGAACATCACTAATAAATATATATTGTTGAAAACTAGTTATTAATTTTAAAACAAACTTATGAAATCTTGAAATATTGTAATAACTTATATATTAAGCACGAAAATGTATACGAAAAATATTATATTTACATTTATTTTTGAACAACTAATACCTTCTATATAATAATAGTTTTGTTTAAATTCTATATAATTAAAGTATTTTTGGTTTAAGTTCTAAAATTTATTAATCAATTAACTATTAATGCTATTATAAATACACGAAAGGGACTAAATTGTTCATTTATTTTAGACACTGTCCTAATTAGAAAATTTCGGTCACGTACAAAATTAAGTTTTGCTCTAATGAGAAATGAAATGAACGTTTGTGTTTCCTCATTTCGAAAAAAAATTATAAAGTATTATTTTTAGATAGCAATATATCGTATTAATTTACTAGACTTGTTATGGCAACTCTCTCTTATGCTTGTTCTTGGTATTGAAAATTATAAAAATGTCTATCTATTTGCCGTGCGATCAGGCGTATTTCCCATAAAGAAGTAAGGAATTGGTTAAAAGTTCAGGTGAATAAGCAGAATAAAAAACATCTTAAAATATCGTTAGCGCAGTTTTATCCCACTTCAAACTATATTTGACATAAATCTGTCTTTACTATTTTTTTCAAAATATTTTATCAGTCTCATCGGGATACAGTTCGACATATTATTTCATAAATTGTTAACTGAACCTGTTAAATAATCATATTTCATTAACAAATTATTTATTATCATTTGCAAAATATTTTACCATCCATCTCCTCCCTTATAAATAAATAAACATCTTAATTTCTGATTCGCAAACTTTTGCCCAACTTGCAAAATCTTCCTACAACTTTCAAATTCCGCCCTTAGAGACTGTTAGGGTGTCCGCACATCGAAGAAACCGGTTTACCGACCTGCTAAACTTTCTCCGGAGTAAACTTGAGTTGCCAACTGGCAACTGGCAACTGTGGCAACTGGCAAGTGGAGTTTTGAGACGTGTCTCTTGGCGATTCCATCTTCCATAATAACGATAACGATTTTCAGAAGAACAAGTTTGAGGGAAAACTAAATTTTAAACGGATTGTTTGAGGGTTTTGTTGTTGCATACGAACCGGGGGTAACAGGGTAACAGATGGTCGAGGGTGAAAGGACATAAATACTGAGGGTTGTTTTAGAGAAAAATAATTATTTTCCAATATTGAGAACATTTTTTAAGTTTAGAGAAACATTACGATTTAACAGTGTTTTCTTAAAATTCTTAACTGTCAAAATTCAAAGAATTTGTTAAAATTTTGATACTTTGAATGTGACGTAAGAGTTTTAGTATACCCTATAACCTAAGTTGGTTATCAATGCATACTTTGAGCCAAAAAAATTTAAAACCGGTTCAGTAGTTTAGGAGTACATCGCGGACGACTGTCAAAATTCAATAAATTTGGTATAATTTTGATACTTTGAAAATGACGTGAGATTTTTAGTATAGCCTATAACCTAAATTGATTATTAATGCACACGTTGAGCCAAAAAAAATTAAAATCGGTTCAGTAGTTTAGGAGTATATCGCGGACGACTGTCAAAATTCAATGAATTCGGTATAATTTTGATACTTTGAATGTGACACGAGATTTTTAGTACATCCTGTAACCTAAGTTGGTTATTAAAGCACACAATGCCAAAACAAAATTCAAATTGGTTCAGTATTTTAGGAGTACATTGCGGACGACTGTAAAAATTCAATGAATTCCGTAAAATTTTGATACTTTTCATATGACGTAAGAGTTTTAGTATACCCTATAATCTAAGTCGGTTGTTATTGCATACGTTGAGCCAAAAACTTTAAAATCGGTTTAGTAGTTTAGGAGTACATCGCGGACGACTGTCAAAATTCATGATACTTTGAATATGACGTGAGATTTTTACTATAGCCTATAACCTAAGTTGGTTATTAATGCATAGGTTGAGCCAAAAAAATTCGAAATCGATTCAGTAGTTTGGGAGTACATCGCGGACGACTGTCAAAATTCAATGAATCCGGTAAAATTTTGATACTTTGAATGTGACGTGAGATTTTTAGTATAGCCTATAACCTAAGTTGGTTATTAATGCACACGTTGAAGTCGAGTACATCGCGGACAACTGTCAAAATTCAATAAATTCATCAAAATTTTGATACTTTGACTGTAACGTGAGATTTTCAGTATAGCTTATAACCTAAGTTGGTTATTAATGCATACGTTGAGCCCAAAAAAATTAAAATCTGTTCAGTAGTTTAGGAGTACATCGCGGACGACTGTCAAAATTCAATGAATTCGGTAAAGTTTTGATAGTTCGAATATACTGTGAGATTTTTAGTATAGCCTATAACCTAAGTTGGTTGTTAAAGCACACGTTGAGCTAAAAAAAATTCAAAATTGGTACAGTAGTTTAGGAGTACATCGCGGACGACTGTCAAAATTCAATGAATACGGTAAAATGTTGATACTTTAAATGTGACGTGAGATTTTTAGTGCAGCCTATAACTTAAATTGGTTATTAATGCATACGTTGAGCCAAAAAAAATAAAATCGGTTAAGTAGTTTAGGAGTACATCGCGGACGACTGTCAAAATTCAATGAATTCAGTAAAATGTTGATACTTCGAATATGACGTGAGGTTTCTAGTATAGCCTATAACCTAAGTTGGTTATTAATGCACACGTTGAACCAAAAAAATTCAAAATCGGTTCAGTAGTTTAGGAGTACATCGCGGACGACTGTCAAAATTCAATGAATGCGGTAAAATTTTGATACTTCGAATGTGACGTGAGATTTTTAGTATAGCCTATAACCCAAGTTGGTTATTAATGACGACTGTAAAAATTCAATGAATACGGTAAAATTTTTATACTTACAATATGACTAAGTAATTATTATATTATATTATTAAAAGTAAGTAAGAAAAATAATTTTTAGAACTATTTCAAGAACAGTTTAAAATTTTTTAAATATTAAAAAAAAATTTTGTAATTTTTTGTAAATTATATTTTTCAGCGAGAAATTTTAAATAGGACACTGAAAAAATAGAACAATTGAACAGTTTGCTAGTTAGTAGAGTCCCTTTCATGTATTTACAATGTTATTGATGGTAAAAAAAATTTGTCCGTTATTTCGATTGCCAGTAGAATCCCTTTTGTTCATCTCGATCCATTTTCTGGGATAAGATTTTTTTCTTTGAAATATTTCGATCGTAAGTAGAATTCTTTGTTAAAGTTTCTCATTTCATTTTTTTAGTAAGTTTCTTTATATTATTTGGTTTGCTCGTCAGTAGAGTTCCTTATTTATTTCTTTATTCTGGTTTGCTCATTAGTAGAGTTTTTTGAATAAAACTTATAGTCTTTTAATCAGGAGAGTTCCTTATTATATTTTTCAATTTTTTGGTTTGCTTGTTAATGGAGTTCCTTGTTTAATTAATATTATTTATTTAATAATATTAATAAATTAATAAGGGCTGAATGGACACAGTAACTGAAAAAAATAATTCTTTCTTAATATTGAGAACATTTTTTAAGTTTCTAGAAATATTGAGAGCTACCATTTCATACATGTTTTTGTAAACTTCGTAACTGTCAAAATTCAATGAATTTGTTGAAATTTTGATACTTTGAATGTGACGTAAGGGTTTTAGTATAGCCTATAACCTAAGTTGGTTATTAATGCACACGTTGAGACAGAAAAATTTAAAATCGGTTCAGTAGTTTAGTAGCACATCGTGGACAAACGTCGTAACACGTACTGTAAAGTGTATGCTTTTATTATAAGATTTAAGAGGCAATTCCTTTGTTGTTCAATTGTTTTTTAGTAGTAAAATTGTGAAAATATCTATCAATCAGGCGTATTTTACATATAAACAAGCAAGAGAAAATCATCGAAAATTCTATCATCATAAGATTTCTCCTTGCTTTGTTTATATGTAAAATACGCCTGATCGCACGGCAAATAGAAAATCATTTTCACAGTTTTCACTATATTATGAGACGGAATTGCCCCATTAATTTCACTATATGGCATGCTAATATTTTTGTTTATCAATTAATAATAATTATTTTTATTTGATAATTAATACTATTAATTTTTTTTTCAGTATTCACTCCTCCAAACAGTAGTCGAAGCCTGTCAGAAAAAACGTCAATGCAAATTTCCGACGTCTCCAAAAGCTTTTGGAGGCGATCCTTGTCCAGGTTTGAGGAAATTTGTGGAAGTTGCCTACAAATGTAGACCATGTGAGTATTGAAAACTAACCCCCAAATGACACAAATTTCAAATAACCAATTGTACGACTCCAAGCATATTTTATTCATAAGTGTAACGGATCAGTACACAACTGCTTGTTGCTATATATAAGGTTGTCAAATATCTCCCTTCCGCCTTTTTGTATTATAAACCAAGAGCAAAAAAGCGGAAGGGAGATATTTGACAACCTAATAGAATAAAATATGTAACAGAGGATACATATTACACCTAGAGTAACATTTTGATGAATTGTAATTTCAATCTTATTATTATTTTGGGTGCATTTGTGGTACTTACCAAGTTTCTATTTTTTTTTCAGATGAGTTTAGGAGTAAGGTTGCTTGTGAGAATGACGTCATTCACCTGAAATGCAACCCTAATTCTAGAATTGCAGTATATTCGGCGAGTTATGGAAGAACCGAGTACGAGTCCATACAATGTCCGCAGCCTCAAGGAGTCCAAGAAGAAAGTGAGTGATATTTGTTTATCAAATTAATAAAAAAACAAAATTGCCCCGTGATACTTTAAAAAGTTTCTTAATCAAAATTCTTATTAATTAAGTTGATTGTTGTATGCGTATAGGAAAGTTTATGTATCTTGCCTTAAGGCAGAATGCCACTTACACCTAACTTTTTCATTATAAATAACTCAAATATGATGTATTTACGTGCTAAAATCTAATATTCCAAATTGTAATGGAACATTTCCAGATGTTTTGTAATATCTATATACGATTTACGACATCATCATCATATCTATAGACTATTTGCAACATTTACAGATGATTTGGTTTGCAACTTTTTCAGTTTATTTGCAATATTTTCAGACGATTAACAATGTTTTCAAGTGATTTGCAACGTTTTCAGAGTATTTTAAGACCATCCAGAATATTTTGAGACAATTTAGAAAATTTTCCAATTATTTGGTACATTCGCAGACTTTCTGAAACATTTTCAGACTATCTACAATATTTTCAGAATTTATCAAACATTTTTCGTTTTTTTCGATTTTTCTTTATGGTGGTTTATATAGAATATTTTCAGACTAGCCGGAACATTCTCAGACTTGCCAAAATATTTTCAGACTAGCCAAAATATTTTCAGACAAGCCAGAACAGTTTCATACTAGCCAAAATATTTTCAGACCAGCCAAGATATTTTCACACTAGCCAACATATTTTCAGACTAGCCAACATATTTTCAGACTAGCCAGAATTTTTTCAGCCTTTCCAAAATATTTTCAGATCAGCCAGAATTTTTTCAAACCAGCCATATCTTTAGATCAGCCAGAATTTTTTAAAACTAGCCAAATCTTTTTTTATACTAGCCGAAATATTTTCAGACTAGCCAAAAATTTTCAGACTAGTCAATTTTTTTAGAAGTGCCACATGTTTTTTTACATTAGCCAAATCTCGTTTAGATTATCCAGAACGTTTTTATACTTTTTTCAAACTCACCAAAAGGTTTTTAGACTACCCAGGTCATTTTCAGACTAGTATAAACATTTTCACACTAGCCAGAATATTTAGAGACTAGTCAGAATATTTTGAGACCAGCCAGAATATTTTGAGACCAGCCAGAAAATTTTTAAACTAAGCAAAAGGTTTTCAGATTAACCAAGTCCTTTTTAGACTAGTCAAATCATTTTCATACTAGCCAGAATACTTCTTAGACTAGCCAAAAAATTTAGACTAGCCAGAATTGTTCAGGCTATCCAGAATTGTTTAGACTAGCCAGAATTGTTCAGACTAGCCAGAATTGTTCAGACTGGCCAGAATTGTTCAGACTAGCCAGAATTCTTTAGACTAGCCAGAATTGTTTAGACTAGCCAGAATATTTTCAGACTAGCCAGAACATTCTCAGTCTAACCAAAAAATTTTCAGTGCAGCAAAAAATTCTTAGAAAAGTCATATCTTTTTTAGACTATCCAAGTCATTTTAGACTATCTAAACATTTTTACACTAGCCAGAATACTTACTGACTAGTCAAATAGAAAATTTTCAGATTATTCAATACAATTTCATACTAATTAGAAAATATTCAGCCAAGATATACTGGCCAAAATATTTTCGAACACTTTTAGACTATCCAGAATAATTGCAGACTATGCAGCATATTTTTAAACAAACTAAAACATTTATTGATTATCCAGGACATTTTTGGCTTATTCGGACCCGTTTGAAAACTAGCCAGAATACTTTAATATTAGTCAGAACATTTTTAGACTATCCAAAATATTTTCAGACTATTTAATACATCTCCCAGACTATCCACACCATTTTCAGACCATTAATCCATCTAAAATATTTTTAGATTATTTATAAGATTTTCAAATTATGCTTTAAATTTTTTGTAGAAGACACTTTGTAAAAGATTTTAAATTCTGCCGTTTTTTTTATTTTGTTTAATTTAAATTTTAGTATAAAAATAATTGGTTGAATATTTGCATCTACTTTGTAATATTATCATTAAAGACTTTTTCCTACGTTTGTAACGATAATGAATTTTTCATAACACTATTAACACTCTTTTATGCAACTTGCCTTAAGGCAAAATGCCACTTGCAACTAGTCTAATCGTCTTATTAAATCTATCTTAATAGTTGCTTATAAATAATTCTAAGACTGTCCTCAGTTAAAACGTGGCACCATCTTCAGGCGCAATTTGCGGTAAACAACACAAAATTTGTTAAAATATTTACGACATAATAAAACCAAAAAAAACTTGCTACGAAAATTTAGACGTATCTACTGCACTCATACAATTGTAAATATCTCAAAATTTTGTATGAAGACTTGTGAAACTTGGTATACAGAATTTTTGTACAAACACTCAAATATAATATACTCAATTTTTAACCCTTAAGTACAAACGGTGTAGCCTGAAGAGATTTTAGTAAATAGTAAGACTTTTTCCTATATTAATTACGCATATTGGGCCAATATTTGCATCTACTTTATAATATTATTATTGAAGACTTTTTGCTGCATTATTAACACATATCTGGAAGTTCATGCAACTTGCTTTAAGGCAAAATGCCGCTTACAACTAGTTTTGATCGTCAATTCAAATCTATCTTAATAGTTGCTTATAAATAATTCCAATATTGCCCAATTTAAAACGTGGCACCATCTTTAGGCGCAAATGGTAAACAACACAAAATTTGGTAAAATATTTGACTGTTTAATATATTAATATATTATATTATTAAATTCAATCATTTTCTGGTAGATATCGCTTTTGAAGATGTAATTTTTGACATTTAACAAGCACAAAGGACGCCATAAATAGAAATGGAACGATTTAGTCTTAAAACACGCGGTGAAATTACTAAAATCAATGTAAAAGTGGTAAAAAATTGGCAAGGACCGATCCTAAGGGTGAAAAAATGGTAGGTTTTTGATATATAATTCTTGTGGACTTTTATCCAACCCTCTGTCTTATTTACAACTAGTCCTTTATCCCCCATATCGATTAAATATACATAAAATCCTCATTTCTAATATCGATTTTTTACCAAGTGCAAACTCAGCCTTTTAGCCCAAACTCTAACTCCGACTCTGAAGATATACGGTGTGCTCTGAAAACCATAAAAATCTCATCAAACGAGAAACGAGAAATACATTAACATTCAGAGAAAGAACTTAGATATCTTCCACGATTTCCACGATTTTCACAATTTCCACAATCCCCGCATTATGTAATCTGAATAACGTGCCATAGTAGACATTTCTGCGGGAATAAATTTTAAAATAATTGATACACTTCCTTGAAAAGATAGGTGGATGTATATATATATATATATATATATATATATATATATATATATATTTTTTACCCTATATTTTCACAGTCCTTCCGCAAATCTCTATTTCTTAATAATCATTTCAGTCATTCATTTTCATCTTACTTGACAACTAAAATTTTTGTTCATGTTTTTTAGTTTAATTTATTCATATTTTTTTAAAAAGTTGCTGTAAGGTTTTGAAATGTTAGAAACATTTATAGAATGTTTAATTTTCTGTAGTTTTCCAGAATATTTCATGCATTTTGGACAAACCGTTCAAAAGTTACAAGAGATTCAATAAGTAAATGCACAAACGATTTGCTTGTTCTGAGAGTGTAGTTGCTTGTACTATATATAGTACAGCTTGTAGTTTGGGTCAAGAATTTTTTTATATGGCGAAAAACGATGTGGGGTATCAAATGAAAGGTCTTGACGAGAACTTTAAGAATATCATTGTTAAAAACTATTTAAGGTAATAGGGTTCCGTACAAAACAATTTTAGGGTGTGTAATATTTTTTGTTAGTTTCAAGTACAATTTTTAAGTATACCGAGTCGTTTAAGGACGTGTTGCTGTAAAAAATATTATTCATAATTTAATTTTGCAAAAATTTGCAAAATATTTCATGTATTTTGGACAAACCGTTCAAAATTTACAAGAGATTCCATAAACAAATGCACAAACGATTTGCTTGTTCTTAGAGTAAAGTTGCTCGTGCTATATATAGTACAGCGTGTAATTTGGGTCAAGAAAGATTTCATATGACAAAAAATCATGTGGGGTATCAAACGAAAGGTCTTGACGAGAACTTTAAGAATATCATATTTAAAACCTTCACAAATCAATAGGGTTCTGTACACTTATATGCTTAAATTTTCAAATGATTTTAAAATACACCAAGTTGTTGTACAACATCATTATGTTCAACTATATTATATGTAATTTAATTTCATACAAACTCGTCAAATATTCCTTTATATTTAGACCAATCATTTAAAAGTTACAGGTGATTTAATCAGCACTTAGAACAAATTTTAATTTCAAAGGCATTTTTATAGTATACCGAGTTGATGTAGGGTCTTGCAATGTTAACAAATAATGTAGATTATTTAATTTTGAATAGTTTTTCCGATTGTTGTATTTATATTAGATGAACGGTTTTAAAGTTACAAAAGTTATTACAAAGAAATGCACAGACGTTAGTACTACAAATAGTACAGTGGGCTTAATTTGGGCCAAAAATGTTTTCATGGTAAAAATCGATGTGGGGTATCAAATGAAAGGTCTCGATAAGTACTATATGCATATCATAGTCACAAACTTAAAACAATGTGAAATATTATTACTTGTGCAAATAATTTTTTTTTACGTTACAACAAAACTAAAAGTCGTAAAAAAATTTAAATCGGGGCGCACTCGTCAGTCCCTCAAGCTCAAATTTAAGTTGCTTGTCAGTAGAATTAATTTTGTCTAATAAAATTTGTATTTGCATTTCATTTTATTTCTTTAAGCTTCAAATTCAATTTTGTGTTTAACGTCACTTTTTTCAAATCTAATTTTGAACAATTTTATCCATTACTTAACCAATATAGTCGCCATCTGATGAATACTGCGAATTAAAAGAAAAATATTTATTAATATATTTTACGACAACGTCTCGATTTTCATTTTGTAACATCATCAG